GTAGAAAATGTACATCACTATTTCTATACATGTCCAAATTACTCAACTGTAAGAAATCACCTGGTAAGAAATCTTAGGAACTTAAATCTTCCAGAGATCCTCCTAACAGACATAAACACACTTCTCTGGGGTAATCATGATCTCACTTTTGAACAAAACAGTAAAACCTTTAACTATGTATGTAAGTACATTAAGGATACAAACCGCTTCTAGTCTTAACTACAACAATTACATCATGTTCGAAGAATTGAATTTTCTTTATCTGTGTGAAAACCTAGGTTAATTCTCTATGAGTAGATCGGGGTACAGAGAAACAGTCGTCAACATCCTATTTTAATAATTCAACTTAAATTTAAAAAATAAAAAAAAATGAAATGTACATGTTAAGACAGCTATGATGTACGTAAACTGTATTTCAGTTAGGAGAGGGCTTAATTAAGTTGTAAGAACTTGTACCCAATCCTTTTTGTCATTTTCAAGGCAATAAAAATATGTTTAAACAAACTATATTTCCTTTCTCATTGCAGGTGATTCACTTCAACATCAAAAGGTCAAATGAAGTAGCAATTAGGAAATATGCTCTACTTGATCCAGTGGACCAACTACCTCCTGTAGGACAGAGCCCTGATGTAGAGGCCGAAAAGAAAAAAACGTTTATCCCATTTTATTAATTCTTGTACTGTCATTATTATTTTATATCTGTTGTGTTTAACAAATAAAATTACTCGAGGCCAAGGGGCCTTTACAGCATACCCAGTATTTCAGTTTATTTAAAATTTGTCTGATATGGTAAAGGTACATCAAAGAATACTAAATACAGTGTATAAGCTGAGACTAGGAAGGCTGTTGTTTGCCAAGACAGATACTTAACATCAAATTAAAATCACAGTTCCCTAACTGGATGTTAAGGTATTTGAACATGTCGGGTTCCTCTATTGGACACTGCCCCTAGTGACTAGGGGCACACTCTATGATTACAACTGAGGATGGCCGTTCTAAATCATGTTCATTTCCATTCACCTATATTATACAAGTAGTCATTTTAGAACTTGATTTTCCATATCAAGTCTCGTCCTTCTTCCCTCAAGGGGACACAACCCTTATTGATGGAGTTCCTTTACCTAATGATGCTGCAGACAAAGTTCAGTTAACTTGTCACAGGGATGAGAGAGGGGTACACCCTCCATTTATATACAATCCTAAGACCAAGTCCCTAAGGGCGGGACCAGATCCTCTTTATCATAATTGTGTTCTTTTCTTAATGTTCAGCAAGCAAATCGAGTCATAGCATTGGGATTCCATGGTTTATGTTATGATCAAAATCACATAACGGCTTTACATGTCATGGCTGTCAGCCTTGTGATTTTTCAGATATAGTTGTTTGAAGTTATTAACTCATTTGACCCATATGACATTAAGGTAGGTTTTAGTCATGAGAAACTAATAACACGCTATTATCCCAGGTGTATACTGATCAAATATCTGGAACCTTTGTCTTGTGCAAAAGGCCCAGGGGCTTCAATAGCTCACCTGGGGTTTTATTTTCAATTCAAAACCTGCTGAGTACCATACCTGTTTATTAAAAGATTACAATATATACCGGGGTAAGGTGTAACGAGGACTCGATCCCCTTGGGTAGGCAGACACCTAGGACAGGAGTGTATTCCTAATGCCCACCAATTTTGTTCAGTATCTAGTTATTGGGTGAGGATCTCAACTGTTATGAAATAAGAAGCAAGTCCCGTTGGACTGGGCCAGACGTCGGGACCAACCCCAGTGCCAAGAATGTATCTACCTCTTGAGATGAGATGGAAGAGTTTGAGAAAACTAAATTCTATATATTTGTTGATTAACAATACCTGGTAATCAAAAAAATAACAAAACAAACAGATTATTAATCTTTTAATTTACAAAAATTGACAAATTAAAAGAAAAATCTGATAAACATGTATTTGTCATATGTATGGTACAATCTAAGGACCACTTCGACACCTCTTATCATACTGAACACTTTCTAGTGATACACAAACAGCCACTCGACATAAAAACTGAATCTGCTTCTTGTTTTACCTACTAGACTAAAGTTTGTTATCAAAATAGAATTTTGATATTTATCTGCACAAATTATTACTGACGATAAAGGGGATACGATTACAAGTTACTAGAACTCAACTGTATTTATACTGGCTTCATTAGTGAAATGATATTGTAAATTAAGGTAGTCTTCTACATAATTATAAGATCTCAGAATAGAAGTTGTATCTCCTGGGAAATTAAATGTTTTAAAGCCAAACAGAAACATTGAACATACAACTTTGAACCTCTTTGTTCTAATTGTGACCTTAGACATCACAAAGTCGTACAAGTCGGCCTTATGTGACCTTGACCTTAGGTTATAAAAACAAATGGTATGTCTACTGCATAAGACCCTGATCAATGATCGCTGGAGATGTACAGCACATTTACGGGTACAAAATATACCTGTAAACCAATTCTCTGAAATGGCTACCTTCCGAGTCGCAATACAGTTCAAGTAATACATGCACACTAACATCCTCTCAATGGAGTACATGTTTTTGTACTTGGTCAGTTGGTACTTCTAAAAGATATTTGTGGTACGTATACTTCCCAAAAGTAATTTTGATACATTTAAAAGGTATTTGGCATTTGCACTAATGCTTCAACCTGAAATTTATTTGCTTTTTGAGTTGTGTATCCTACTGATTTTATATCTCAAGATTCTTCAGCATTTATTTGCCTTTACAAGGAAGTACCAAAACATCCTCTTTTTAGGTCACCAAAACTACTGAGTACCAAAACATCTTAGACTTTTAATGGCTGCCCTATTGTCATCATCAAATGGTACCTCCTCTTCAGTAAACATACTGAAATTTATATAATTACCCAAAGGTCAAAGGCAAATGATAATCTTTACATACAATAGAAATCAAAAAGAGTTCCTTTTAAAGCAAACTCTTATTGGATTTTAAGATACAGAAGTAGGTAATCACACTTATAGAGCATGATGTAGTGTTAAAACATACCAAATTAGAACAAAAACAGAAATATGTAAATCCTCGATCTGGAAATGTAAAGCTGAACTTTTGACCTCTCCAGCATGTACAGCGATCACGTCGGTGAAGTACAATCAAATCAGCTAATAGTTCAGATAAGGCGGGTATAACTCAAAATGATATCGGCATTTACTTGCCAATATATTAGACTTATTCACCTAATGAATCTTTCCCTGTGTCCCCAAGGAAAGGGACTTTTATTTTGATAGAAATGTTCCCCCTTAGCTCAAGGAAAGGGACTTTTATTATGATAGAAATGTTCCCCCTTAGCCCAAGGAAATGGACTTTTATTTTGATAGAAATGTTCCACCTTAGCCCAAGGAAAGGGACTTTTATTATGATAGAAATGTTCCCCCTTAGCCCAAGGAAAGGGACTTTTATTTTGACAGAAATGTTCCCCCTTAGGCCAAGGATGCACTACATGCATTCCTAAATAATTCAAAATGCGTTCCGCTGTTATTGACTAAAAGCTTTATTTAAAGAAGAGGCAAACATAAATGTTGAACTGATTTAATTGGTGTCCAAAATGCTATGTTGGACCGAATATCTGTTAGACCAATAGAAATATATCAACACAACAGAGATGTGTAAAATGATCACTAATATAAATATATCGTTGTATCTAGCACTCAACACAGAATGATGTTTACCCGACCATCTTTAGATCATCTACCGACAGCAACAAGTCCTTTCCTATCTCTCAATCATCTACCGACAGCAACAAGTCCTTTCCTATCTCTCAATCATCTACCGACAGCAACAAGTCCTTTCCTATCTCTCAATCATCTACCGACAGCAACAAGTCCTTTCCTATCTCTCAATCATCTACCGACAGCAACAAGTCCTTTCCTATCTCTCAATCATCTACCGACAGCAACAAGTCCTTTCCTATCTCTCAATCATCTACCGACAGCAACAAGTCCTTTCCTATCTCTCAATCATCTACCGACAGCAACAAGTCCTTTCCTATCTCTCAATCATCTACCGACAGCAACAAGTCCTTTCCTATCTCTCAATCATCTACCGACAGCAACAAGTCCTTTCCTATCTCTCAATCATCTACCGACAGCAACAAGTCCTTTCCTATCTCTCAATCATCTACCGACAGCAACAAGTCCTTTCCTATCTCTCAATCATCTACCGACAGCAACAAGTCCTTTCCTATCTCTCAATCATCTACCGACAGCAACAAGTCCTTTCCTATCTCTCAATCATCTACCGACAGCAACAAGTCCTTTCCTATCTCTCAATCATCTACCGACAGCAACAAGTCCTTTCCTATCTCTCAATCATCTACCGACAGCAACAAGTCCTTTCCTATCTCTCAATCATCTACCGACAGCAACAAGTCCTTTCCTATCTCTCAATCATCTACCGACAGCAACAAGTCCTTTCCTATCTCTCAATCATCTACCGACAGCAACAAGTCCTTTCCTATCTCTCAATCATCTACCGACAGCAACAAGTCCTTTCCTATCTCTCAATCATCTACCGACAGCAACAAGTCCTTTCCTATCTCTCAATCATCTACCGACAGCAACAAGTCCTTTCCTATCTCTCAATCATCTACCGACAGCAACAAGTCCTTTCCTATCTCTCAATCATCTACCGACAGCAACAAGTCCTTTCCTATCTCTCAATCATCTACCGACAGCAACAAGTCCTTTCCTATCTCTCAATCATCTACCGACAGCAACAAGTCCTTTCCTATCTCTCAATCATCTACCGACAGCAACAAGTCCTTTCCTATCTCTCAATCATCTACCGACAGCAACAAGTCCTTTCCTATCTCTCAATCATCTACCGACAGCAACAAGTCCTTTCCTATCTCTCAATCATCTACCGACAGCAACAAGTCCTTTCCTATCTCTCAATCATCTACCGACAGCAACAAGTCCTTTCCTATCTCTCAATCATCTACCGACAGCAACAAGTCCTTTCCTATCTCTCAATCATCTACCGACAGCAACAAGTCCTTTCCTATCTCTCAATCATCTACCGACAGCAACAAGTCCTTTCCTATCTCTCAATCATCTACCGACAGCAACAAGTCCTTTCCTATCTCTCAATCATCTACCGACAGCAACAAGTCCTTTCCTATCTCTCAATCATCTACCGACAGCAACAAGTCCTTTCCTATCTCTCAATCATCTACCGACAGCAACAAGTCCTTTCCTATCTCTCAATCATCTACCGACAGCAACAAGTCCTTTCCTATCTCTCAATCATCTACCGACAGCAACAAGTCCTTTCCTATCTCTCAATCATCTACCGACAGCAACAAGTCCTTTCCTATCTCTCAATCATCTACCGACAGCAACAAGTCCTTTCCTATCTCTCGATCATCTACCGACAGCAACAAGTCCTTTCCTATCTCTCAATCATCTACCGACAGCAACAAGTCCTTTCCTATCTCTCAATCATCTACCGACAGCAACAAGTCCTTTCCTAAATGCTGACCCTTTGTAGGAAAGAAATATGATAGATAATACCGAGAATATCTGGACAGAAAAATGTTTGCATTCTCTTTCTTAGTTTTCATGGATAAATCATAATGAATATTCAACATAGCTGCCAAAGTACCTCAAAGGATGACGAGTTTTTAGTTCAGATACAACACACTTTAGTACGGTTTAATTATTAGTACAAAAACATTCTTAGTGTAATGTAACTTTAGTGCCTTTTAACAAAAACTGTGATTGGCTCTGCGTAAGCACAGAGAAATCTGGAGTCATTCAGCATGAATCTAAAGCTATAGATACTATGAACTAGTTTAAGAATTCCCCGTTGTTATGTTCTGAACACAGTTTTTGATGTATCTATTATAATTGAGGATCTTCAGAATTCTATATGAACAGAAGCTGGATTTTCATATGAATTACGAGTACTCTATCCTCATCAAAAGGAAGTTGTAGTTGCTAAAATTGGGCCAGAATATGATGCACAGATTCTACACACTTGCAAACTGCTGACAAAATGAAAGCCATTTCTAATTTCAGAGGTGAAAGTCTGTGGTATATGTTATAACATGTAAAAGAACCATATATTTGGTTAAGATGCAACACTGCATTTTTCTGACAGCACTCAGTTTAAACACTATGTGTTGGTCTTCTGTGCAAAAATGGAGTAAAGCAGGGCAGAATAAATGTCATCATATGAACACTAGTGTTTACTCTTAGTTTCAGGAAAACAATATTTATTAATTAATTGTTAAAAAGTTCTTTACTAAATGAAACTTCTGTCCAAAGTCAAACTGATCAGATTTAAAATAAGTCTCCTACACATAGCACATTGTGTAGTGGACCTGACAATAAAAAACTAAGAATTTGTGACAGCCTATTGTCTGTTAGCTGCATTGTCAGTCACATTCTGATGACGGAACTAGTTCCCTGCAGTCATTTCACTATATTGAACACAAAGTTGAAAATCCATGGAAGGAAAATAACAGGAATTTCCATCCACACCGCAACGACTGGAAAGCACAACCACGTCATTTCTCCGACATACATCAGTGTGTGATGTCATTTCTCCATTGCACACTATTGGAATACGACATTTCTCTGACATACAACTCTCTATAATGTCCTATTTAACTCTGTATAATCTCTGACATACAAATCTTTATCATGGACCAAGATCAATTTTCTTGTCGTGATACCATCATGCTTCCCACTTTCTGAAAGATATAATAGATATTGAATAAAATGTCATTTCAAGTCATATATAATTTGTGAATTTTCATCACCAACACATAATTTTGCCATTAGGGAAAAATCTTTTAAATGAAGTAAAACGTAGTTACCTCCCTTGTTCATGTCGCAGAATAGGAATGGAAAAGTTGAGGAAGAGTAACAAATTAATTTCATAAATAAAATAAAATGAATATAAAATGACAATACATATTTAACTATTTATTAAAAGTTATAAAATATATTTAATTGCTGAAGTACATCCATCAATACAACCTTTCTAAGAAATATACAAAGATTTTGCAATTTATATTTTGTCTTACAGTAAATTTGTGACAATGGTGTATTATAGCAGGATAGTTTTTCACCCGATCCAAGCCACCTAGTGCTATATGGGACTTGTGATAACAGGGCTCACCTGATCCAAGCCACCTAGTGCTATATGGGACTTGTGATAGCAGGGCTCACCAGATCAAAGCCACCTAGTGCTATATGGGACTTGTGATAGCAGGGCTCACCCATTAGCCACCTAGTGCTATATGGGACTTGTGATAGCAGGGCTCACCCGATCAAAGCCACCTAGTGCTATATGGGACTTGTGATAGCAGGGCTCACCCGATCCAGGCCACCGAGTGCTATATGGGACTTGTGATAACAGGGCTCACTTGATCCAGGCCACCTTGTGCTATATGGGACTTGTGATAGCAGGAAGCTGGAGTTTGTGGTGAGTGATGGGAAGGTGAAAAACATAAGTAGGCTTAATATCTTAAAACAAAAAAACAATTTGTAATAAATAACACAAAAATGTCAGATTTCATCATTTGTTGTGAGTTCAGATGTGAGATTTCAGATGTTGCGAACTAGGATACGTGATTTCGGATGTTGTAACTCAGATGTGAGATTTCATATGTTGTGAGCTCAGATATGGGATTTCAGATGTTGTAAGCTCAGATATGAGATTTTAGATGTTGTGAGCTCAGATGTGAGTTTTTATATTTTGGCAGGTCAAATTTTGTGAGCTCAGGTATGAGATTTCAGATGTTGTGAGCTCAGATATGAGATTTCAGATGTTGTGAGCTCAGATGTGAGTTTTTATATTTTGGCAGGTCAGATGTTGTGAGCTCAGATATGAGATTTCTGATGTTGTGAGCTAAGATGTGAGTTTTTATATTTTGGCAGGTCAAATGTTGTGAGCTCAGATATGAGATTTCAGATGTTGTGAGCTCAGATATGAGATTTCAGATATTGTGAGCTCAGATATGAGATTTCAGATATTGTGAGCTCAGATGTGAGTTTTTATATTTTGGCAGGTCAAATGTTGTGAGCTCAGGTATGAGATTTCAGATGTTGTGAGATCCGATATGCGATTTCAGATGTTGTGAGCTCAGATGTGAGTTTTTATATTTTGGCAGGTCAGATGTTGTGAGCTCAGATATGAGATTTCTGATGTTGTGAGCTAAGATGTGAGTTTTTATATTTTGGCAGGTCAAATGTTGTGAGCTCAGATATGAGATTTCAGATGTTGAGAGCTCAGATGTTGTGAGCTCAGATATGAGATTTCAGATGTTGTGAGCTCAGATGTGAGTTTTTATATTTTGGCAGGTCAAATGTTGTGAGCTCAGGTATGATATTTCAGATGTTGTGAGCTCAGATATGAGATTTCAGATGTTGTGAGCTCAGATATGAGATTTCAGATATTGTGAGCTCAGATGAGATTTTCAGATGTTGTGAGCTCAGATGAGATTTCAGATTTTGTGAGCTCAGATGTAAGATTTGTAAGCTCTGATAAACATACAAAATAAGAATACTGTACCCTTGTAATTAACTGCACTTATCAAAGCTTCAAAACTCAATATCTGGTTTACGTTTCTGGTTTTGCTTTAATGCCTGAAAGAGATGAAGTAATTCATTGGTAAGACAAAAATAAAAATATAATAGGTAACTAACTATCAAGTTCAAGAAAACACTTTTAAGGAGAGAAAACACGGGTGTTGTCATAGGGACAGATAACATGGGTGTTGTCATAGGGGCGGAGAACATGGATGTTGTCATAGGGACAGATAACATGGGTATTGTTATAGGGACAGAGAACATGGATATTGTTATAGGGACAGACAACATGGGTGTTGTCATAGGGACAGATAACATGGGTGTTGTTATAGGTACAGAGAACATGGGTGTTGTTATATAGACACAGATAACATGGGTGTTGTCATAGGTACAGAGAACATGGGTGTTGTCATAGGGACAGATAACATGGGTGTTGTTATAGGTACAGAGAACATGGGTATTGTCATAGAGACGGAGAATAATGGTTGTTGTCATAGGGACAGATAACATGGGTGTTGTCATAGGGACAGAAAACATGGGTGTTGTTATAGGTACAGAGAACATGGGTGTTGTCATAGGTACAGAGAACATAGGTGTTGTTATATAGACACAGATAACATGGGTGTTGTTATAGGGACAGAGAACATGGGTGTTGTTATAGGGACAGATAACATGGGTGTTGTCATAGGGACAGAAAACATGGGTGTTGTCATAGGGACGGAGAACATGGATGTTGTCAAATTTCAGATTGTCAGAAAACTTGAAACCCCTTATTTAGCTTCATCATTTTCAAAATCAGAATAAAAAGTATACACTTACCTTTTTAATAGCTGTCCAGTCTTCAATAATATCAACATCTTTTAACAGGTATACAATATATGGACCTGGGAGAGTTAAGAAACAACTAATCATGTATATCAACAGGTATACAATATATGGACCTGGGAGAGGTAAAAAACAACTTATCATGTATATCAACAGGTATACAATATATGGACAAGGGAGAGGTGAGAAACAACTAATCATGTATATCAACAGGTATACAATATATGGACCAATGAGAGGTAAGAAACAACTAATCATGTATATCAACAGGTATACAATATATGGCCCTGGGAGAGGTAAGAAACAACTAATCATGTACATGTATATCAACAGGTATACAATATATGGACCAATGAGAGGTAAGAAACAACTAATCATGTATATCAACAGGTATACATGATTAGTTGTTTCTTAACTCTACAAGGTCCATATATTGTATACCTGTTATCTATATTGATATATCATCAGGTAAACATGTTAGATCTATATAGATATATCATCAGGTAAACACGTTAGATCTATATAGATATATCATCAGGTAAACACGTTAGATCTATATAGATCTAACGTGTTTACCTGATGATATATCAATATAGATAACAGGTATACAATATATGGACATGGGAGAGGTAAGAAACAACTAATCACGTATATCAACAGGTATACAATATATGGACCTGGGAGAGGTAAGAAACAACTAATCATGTGTATCAACAGGTATACAATATATGGACCTGGGAGAGGTAAGAAACAACTAATCATGTACATGTATATCAACAGGTATGCAATATATGGACCAGGGAGAGGTAAAAAACAACTAATCATGTATATCAACAGGTATACAATATATGGACCAGGGAGAGGTAAGAAACAACTAATCATGTATATCAACAGGTATACAATATATGGACCAGGGAGAGGTAAGAAACAACTAATCATGTATATCAACAGGTATACAATATATGGACCTGGGAGAGGTAAGAAACAACTAATCATGTATATCAACAGGTATACAATATATGGACCTGGGAGAGGTAAGAAACAACTAATCATGTATATCAACAGGTATACAATATATGGACCTGGGAGAGGTAAGAAACAACTAATCATGTATATCAACAGGTATACAATATATGGACCTGGGAGAGGTAAGAAACAACTAATCATGTATATCAACAGGTATACAATATATGGACCTGGGAGAGGTAAGAAACAACTAATCATGTATATCAACAGGTATACAATATATGGACCTGGGAGAGGTAAGAAACAACTAATCATGTATATCAACAGGTATACAATATATGGACCTGGGAGAGGTAAGAAACAACTAATCATGTATATCAACAGGTATACAATATATGGACCTGGGAGAGGTAAGAAACAACTAATCATGTATATCAACAGGTATACAATATATGGACCTGGGAGAGGTAAGAAACAACTAATCATGTATATCAACAGGTATACAATATATGGACCTGGGAGAGGTAAGAAACAACTAATCATGTATATCAACAGGTATACAATATATGGACCAGGGAGAGGTAAGAAACAACTAATCATGTATATCAACAGGTATACAATATATGGACCAGGGAGAGGTAAGAAACAACTAATCATGTATATCAACAGGTATACAATATATGGACCTGGGAGAGGTAAGAAACAACTAATCATGTATATCAACAGGTATACAATATATGGACCTGGGAGAGGTAAGAAACAACTAATCATGTATATCAACAGGTATACAATATATGGACCTGGGAGAGGTAAGAAACAACTAATCATGTATATCAACAGGTATACAATATATGGACCTGGGAGAGGTAAGAAACAACTAATCATGTATATCAACAGGTATACAATATATGGACCTGGGAGAGGTAAGAAACAACTAATCATGTATATCAACAGGTATACAATATATGGACCTGGGAGAGGTAAGAAACAACTAATCATGTATATCAACAGGTATACAATATATGGACCTGGGAGAGGTAAGAAACAACTAATCATGTATATCAACAGGTATACAATATATGGACCTGGGAGAGGTAAGAAACAACTAATCATGTATATCAACAGGTATACAATATATGGACCTGGGAGAGGTAAGAAACAACTAATCATGTATATCAACAGGTATACAATATATGGACCTGGGAGAGGTAAGAAACAACTAATCATGTATATCAACAGGTATACAATATATGGACCTGGGAGAGGTAAGAAACAACTAATCATGTATATCAACAGGTATACAATATATGGACCTGGGAGAGGTAAGAAACAACTAATCATGTATATCAACAGGTATACAATATATGGACCTGGGAGAGGTAAGAAACAACTAATCATGTATATCAACAGGTATACAATATATGGACCTGGGAGAGGTAAGAAACAACTAATCATGTATATCAACAGGTATACAATATATGGACCAGGGAGAGGTAAGAAACAACTAATCATGTACAACTGTATATCAAATGCGGCTGGACATATTTTCTGAAGACAACATATTGAATCAATTCCAACAGCATCTGGACAAGACGACGACACATCTTTTCCAATGTACAGGTGGAAACAAGTAAAACAATTTCCCTCTTTTCTGTATTGTAATTACTAGGAGGTTCAAAAGGTGAACAACAAACCTTCGGTTTGCATTCAGCCAATAGGAATCATGAACATTTTATTGAGTTAAATTAAGTTTCCTCGGCCAGTTGGCATTGATTCATTTTTGACTTATAGTGCTGGTATTACACTTCACCAATTATAATCAAACAATAGTCATAAACATAGCTTGATATCTATTACCATAGCAGAAAAAATCCTGATATTTACATGTCATCCTCATACACATAATTACATGAAAACACATGACTGCTTAACGACAGTTTAACTTCACGTAATATCTAACAAGGATACCAGCCACAGTCACAGGTTTTTTTCTTCTGTCAGGGTTTGAAGGGTCTTTATTCTTTTTATTTTTCTTCATGAACTGAGATTCATTCCATAAATCTGCAGTGTAAAAACAACATGATACATTTAAATTAAAACGAAAGAATTACAGAATCATGTGGCTAAACATGGAGTATGGCAATACCTAGATGGGTGCAGAGTAACAGGTCAAAATCAAATTTACAATACTACAAGAGATCCCAGAGGGATCTTGGCGCCCACCTTTGTACCATCTTCTTTAGTTCTTTGTCAGTCATGTTAACAGTAAATGCACCTTGAGGTAACTTTTGATCTAAACTTAATACTGATGTGTACGAAAGCCAACCTTCAAAGTGAGTTTGTCAGTTCACATATTGACTAGTACAGTACTTAACGTGAAAGAAATAGAATCGATCATTGCAATATGAGAAAGATCTGTTTAGTTCTTCTTTTAATCCATTTTGTTTTTATGATCAGTCTCAAAATATAACATGCACAACGAGGGATCAAGGGGAACCTACATTTATTAAAATTTGAGAAAGATCCCTTTGGTACTTCTCGAGAAATAGTGATAACAAACCTTCACTATCAAAATCCAAGATGGCTGACTGTCAGCCATGTTATTTATCCGATCAGTCTCAAAAGTTGACTTGCACAGCTAAGGACCAAGGGGAACATGCATATAACATTTGAGAAAGATACCTTTGGTACTTCTCGAGAAATAGCGATAACAAACTTTCACTATCACAATCCAAGATGGCATCTGTCGGCCATGTTGTTTATCATATCAGTCTCAAAAGTTGACTTGCACAGCTAAGGACCTAAGGGAACCTGCATATAACATTTGAGAAAGATACCTTTGGTACTTCTCGAGAAATAGTGATAACAATCTTTCACTATCAAAATCCAAGATGGCATCTGTCGGCCATGTTGTTTATCCGATCAGTCTCAAAAGTTGCCTTGCACAGCTAAGGACCAAGGGGAACCTGCATATAACATTTGAGAAAGATCCCTTTGGTACTTCTCGAGAAATAGTGATAACAAACTTTCACTATCAAAATCCAAGATGGCTGCCTGTCGGCCATGTCATTTATCCGATCAGTCTCAAAAGTTGCCCTGCACAGCTATGGACTAAGGGGAACCTACATATAAAATTTGAGAAAGATCCCTCCCGTACTTTACGAGAAATAGCGATAACAAACTTTCACTATTAAAATCCAAGATGGCTTCCTGTCGGCCATGTTGTTTATCCTATCAGTCTCAAAAGTTGCCTTGCACAGCTAAGGACCAAGGGGAACCTGCATATAAAATTTGAGAGTTCCAGAAAAGAAGTTGCTTAAAGCAATATAGCCAAACTGCCTGCTTTTGGACCGCCCATCGGCCCCCTGGAGGGTCAGCCCCACCATTTGTAAAATTTTGAATCCCCACCACCTAGGGATGCTTCCAGTCAAATATTGTTGATATCAATCTCTTAGTTCCAGAGAAGAAATTGCTTAAAGCAATATAGCCAAATTGCCTGCTTTTGGCCCCGCCCATCAGCCCCACCATTTGTACAATTTTGAATTCCCACCACCTAGGGATGCTTCCAGTCAAATATGGTTGATATCCATCTCTTAGTTCCAGAGGAGAAGTCGCTTAAAGCAATAAAGCCAATTTTTAATCCCTACCACTTAGGTCAAATTTAATTAAATTTCAATTAGTGGTTAAGAAGAAGAAGTCGTTCAAAGAAATTGTTGACTTACAGACGACGGACGCCACAGTATCGCATAAGCTCACCTTGGTCCTTCGATCGGACCAGGTGAGCTAACAATACTAATTCAAAAACTGAAAGAGATATTATCTATATACATCTAACGTGTTTACCTGATGATATATCTATATAGATCTAACGTGTTTACCTGATGATATATCTATATAGATCTAACATGTTTACCTGATGATATATCTATATAGATCTAAAGTGTTTACTTGATGATATATCTATATAGATCTAACATGTTTACCTGATGATATATCTATATAGATCTAACGTGTTTACCTGATGATATATCTATATAGATCTAATGTGTTTACCTGATGATATATCTATATAGATCTAAAGTGTTTACTTGATGATATATCTATATAGATCTAATGTGTTTACCTGATGATATATCAATATACATCTAACGTGTTTCCCTGATGATATATCTATTTAGATCTAATGTGTTTACCTGATGATATATCTATATAGATCTAGAGTGTTTACTTGATGATATATCTATATAGATCTAATGTGTTTACCTGATGATATATCTATATAGATCTAAAGTGTTTACTTGATGATATATCAATATACATCTAACATGTTTACCTGATATCTATATAGATCTAACGTGTTTACTTGATGATATATCAATATAGATCTAACATGTTTCCCTGATGATATATCTATATAGATCTAACGTGTTTCCCTGGTGATATATCTAAAAGATCTCACGTGTTTACCTGATGATATATCAATATAGATCTAACATGTTTACCTGATGATAAATCTATATAGATCTAACATGTTTACCTGATGATATATCTATATAGATCTAACGTGTTTACCTAATGATATATCTATATAGATCTAACGTGTTTACCTGATGATATATCTCTATAGATCTAACATGTTTACCTGATGATATATCAATATAGATCTAACGTGTTTACCTGATGATATATCTATATAGATCTAACATGTTTACCTGATGATATATCTATATAGATCTAACGTGTTTACCTGATGATATATCTATATAGATCTAACATGTTTACCTGATGATATATCTATATAGATCTAACATGTTTACCTGATGATATATCTATATAGATCTAACATGTTTACCTGATGATATATCTATATAGATCTAACATGTTTACCTGATGATATATCTATATAGATCTAACATGTTTACCTGATGATATATCTATATAGATCTAACATGTTTACCTGATGATATATCTATATAGATCTAACATGTTTACCTGATGATATATCTATATAGATCTAACATGTTTACCTGATGATATATCTATATAGATCTAACATGTTTACCTGATGATATATCTATATAGATCTAACATGTTTACCTGATGATATATCTATATAGATCTAACATGTTTACCTGATGATATATCTATATAGATCTAACATGTTTACCTGATGATATATCTATATAGATCTAACATGTTTACCTGATGATATATCTATATAGATCTAACATGTTTACCTGATGATATATCTATATAGATCTAACATGTTTACCTGATGATATATCTATATAGATCTAACATGTTTACCTGATGATATATCTATATAGATCTAACATGTTTACCTGATGATATATCTATATAGATCTAACATGTTTACCTGATGATATATCTATATTATGTCTATCCTCCTCTAGTCTGCGGATCTTCTCCTCCAAGTCCTGCTTGACTGAGTCAAATAATATATCCTTTTCACTCTGAAAATTCAAACAAATAAAACAATTTTTTATTGGAATAAATACAGAAATTGGAATGTTCCGTTTCATTCAAATTTTCAACCTACGTAACAGTATGCCAGATAATATGGTTTGTATGGAAGGGGAGACATGATTACCTCTATGTGACTGTGTATGGTAAGGGGAGACATGATGACCTCTATGTTACTGTGTATGGTAGGGGAGACATGGTGACCTCTATGTGACTGTGTATGGAAGGGGAGACATGATGACCTCTATGGGACTGTGTATGGTAGGGGAGACATGATGACCTCTATGGGACTGTGTATGGTAGGGGAGACATGATGACCTCTATGTGACTGTATGGTAGGGGGGACATGGTGACCTCTATGTGACTGTGTATGGAAGGGGAGACATGATGACCTCTATGTGACTGTGTATGGTAGGGGAGACATGGTGAACTCTATGTGACTGTATGATAGAGGAGACATGGTGACCTCTATGTGACTGTGTATGGTAGAGGAGACATGATGCCCTCTATGTGACTGTGTATGGTAGGGGAGACATGATGACCTCTATGTGACTGTATGGTAGGGGGGACATGGTGACCTCTATGTGACTGTGTATGGTAGAGGAGACATGATGACCTCGGTGTGACTGTGTATGGTAGGGGAGACATGATGACCTCAATGTGACTGTGTATGGTAGGGGAGACATGATGACCTCTATGTGACTGTATGGTAGGGGGGACATGGTGACCTCTATGTGACTGTGTATGGAAGAGGAGACATGATGACCTCTTTGTGACTGTATGGTAGGGAAGACATGATGACCACTATATGACTGTGTATGGTAGGGGAGACATGGTGACCTTTATGTGACTGTGTATGGTAGAGGAGACATGATGACCTCCGTGTGACTGTGTATGGTAGGGGAGACATGATGACCGCAATGTGACTGTGTATGGTAGGGGAGACATGATGACCTCTATGTGACTGTGTATGGTAGAGGAGACATGATGACCTCTTTGTGACTGTATGGTAGGGGAGACATGATGACCACTATATGACTGTGTATGGTAGGGGAGACATGGTGAACTCTATGTGACTGTGTATGGTACAGGAGACATGATGACCTCTATGTGACTTTGTATGGTACAGGAGACATGGTGACCTTTATGTGACTGTGTATGGTACAGGAGACATGATGACCTCTATGTGACTGGGTATGGTACAGGAGACATGGTGACCTTTATGTGACTGTGTATGGTAGAGGGACATGATAACCTCTTTGTGACTGTGTATGGTAGGGGAGACATGGTGAACTCTATGTGACTGTGTATGGTACAGGAGACATGAGGACCTCTATGTGACTGTGTATGGTAGGGGAAACATGGTGACCTCTATGTGACTGTGTATGGTAGAGGGACATGATGACCTCTTTGTGACTGTGTATGGTAGGGGAGACATGATGACCTCTATATATGTGACCGTGTATGGTAGAGGAGACATGGTGACCTCTATGTGACTGTGTATGGTAGAGGAGACATGGTGACCTCTATCTGACTGTGTATGGTAGGGGAGACATGATGACCTCTATCTGACTGTGTATGGAAGGGGAGACATGGTGACCTCTATGTGACTGTGTATGGTACAGGAGACATGATGACCTCTATGTGACTGTGTATGGAAGGGGAGACATGGTGACCTCTATGTGACTGTGTATGGGAGGGGAAACATGGTGACCTCTATGTGACTGTGTATGGTAGAGGAGACATGATGACCTCTTTGTGACTGTGTATGGTAGGGGAGACATGATGACCTCTATATATGTGACTGTGTATGGTAGAGGAGACATGGTGACCTCTATGTGACTGTGTATGGTACAGGAGACATGATGACCTCTATGTGACTGTGTATGGTAGGGGAGACATGATGACCTCTATCTGACTGTGTATGGAAGGGGAAACATGGTGACCTCTATGTGACTGTGTATGGTAGGGGCGACATGGTGACCTCTATGTGACTGTGTATGGTAGGGGATACATGATGACCTCTATGTGATTGTGTATGGTAGGGGACACATGGTGACCTCTATGTGACTGTGTATGGTAGGGGAGACATGGTGACCTCTATGTGATTGTGTATGGTAGGGGTGACATGATGACCTCTATGTGACTGTGTATGGTAGGGGAGACATAATGACCTTTATTTGACTGTGTGATAGAGGAGATATTGTTACCTCCACTGATATAATTGAATTATTTCTTTTTGTATGCCATTTGTCATATTCTATAAATGATAAGGGACGAGAAAGTTACCTCCATATTCTGTCTTGTCGCTAGCTCTTCACTCTCAAATTTAGTTTGGATACTTATTTTTCTGTATTCTTTTAGAATTCCTGAAAGTAATTAAAATGTCATTAAGAATATTTAATATTACATGTGTATATGAATATTTAGCAAAATTAAATTTCAGGTTGATGATATTTGTTTAATGCATTGGTTATGGAGATTGATCAATGCAATACACCAAAAGGAAGATATCAGTCGAATGTAACAGCCCTTTGTACCTGCTGTCCCTAATGTGAACAGCCCTTTGTACCTGCTGTCCCTAATGTAACAGCCCCTTGTACCTGCTGTCTCTAATGTAACAGCCCTTTGTACCTGCTGTCCCTAATGTGAACAGCCCTTTGTACCTGCTGTCCCTAATGTGAACAGCCCTTTGTACCTGCTGTCCCTAATGTGAACAGCCCCTTGTACCTGCTGTCCCTAATCACCGCTAGTGTCAATATATAACAACCCCTGCCCTCTATAGTCACTACCAGTGTTACTATATGTATATAACAACCCCTGCCCTATATAGTCACTACCAGTGTCACTATATGTATATAACAACACCTTCCCTCCTTAGTCACTACCAGTATTACTATAAGTATATAACAACCCCTGCCCTCTATAGTCACTACCAGTGTTACTATTAGTATATAACGACCCCTGCCCTCTATAGTCACTACCAGTGTAACTATATGTATATAACGACCCCTGCCCTCTATAGTCACTACCAGTGTCACTATATCTATATAACAACACCTTCCCTCCTTAGTCACTACCAGTATTACTATAAGTATATAACCACCCCTGCCCTCTATAGTCACTACCAGTGTTACTATTAGTATATAACGACTCCTGCCCTCTCTAAACCTACCAGTGTCGCTATAAGTATATAACAACCCCTGCCCTCTCTAAACCTACCAGTGTTACTATAAGAATATAACAACCCCTGCCCTCTATAGTCACTACCAGTGTTACTATTAGTATATAACAACCCCTGCCCTCTCTAAATCTACCAGTGTTACTATATGTATATAACGACCCCTGCCCTCTCTTAACCTACCAGTGTCACTATATGTATATAACAACCCCTGCCCTCTATAGTCACTACCAGTGTTACTATTAGTATATAACAACTCCTTCCCTTTGTAATCATCATACCAATGTCACTATATAACGACCCCTTCCATCTGTAATTACTACCAGTGTCACTATATAATGACCCCTTCCCTCTGTAATCACTATACCAATGTCACTATATAACGTCCCCTTCCCTCTGTAATCACTATACCAATGTCACTATATAACAACTCCTTCCCTTTGTAATCACTATACCAATGTCACTATATAACGACCCCTTCCCTCTGTAATCACTATACCAATGTCACTATATAACGACCCATTCCCTCTGTAACCACTATACCAGTGTCACTATATAACGACTCCTTCCCTCTCTAATCACTACCAATGTCACTTTATAACGACCCCTTCCCTCTGTAATCACTACCAGTGTCACTATATAAAGACCCCATCCCTCTGTAATCACTACCAGTGTCACTATATAACGACCCCTTCCCTCTGTAATCACATCCAGTGTCACTTTATAATGACCCCTTCCCTCTGTAATCACTATACCAATGTCACTATATAACGACCCCTTCCCTCTCTAATCACTACCAGTGTCACTTTATAACGACCCCTTCCCTCTGTAATCACTACCAGTGTCACTTTATAATGACCCCTTCCCTCTGTAATCACTACCAGTGTCACTATATACCTACCCCTTCCCTCTGTAATCACTACCTGTGTCACTATATAATGACCCCTTTCCTCTGAAATCACTACCAATGTCACTTTGTAACGACCCCTTCCCTCTGTAATGACTACCAGTGTCACTATATAAAGCCCCCATCCCTCTGTAATCACTACCAGTGTCACTATGTAATGACCCCTTTCCTCTGTAATCACTACCAGTGTCACTAAATAACGACCCCTTCCCTCTGTAATCACTATACCAGTGTCACTATATAACGACCCCTTCCCTCTGTAATCACTACCAGTGTCACTATATAAAGACCCCATCCCTCTGTAATCACTACCAGTGTCACTATATAACGACCCCTTCCCTCTCTAATCACTACCAGTGTCACTTTATAACGACCCCTTCCCTCTGTAATCACTGCCAGTGTCACTATATAACGACCCCTTCCCTCTGTAATCACTACCAGTGTCACTATATAACGACCCCATCCCTCTGTAATCACTATACCAGTGTCACTATATAACGGCCCCTTCCCTCTGTAATCACTACCAATGTCACTATATAACGACTCCTTCCCTCTCTAATCACTACCAGTGTAGGTATACGTATTGGCCCCTCTATTTCTGAATCTCTGTCAGTACCTGACACCTGTATTCGGATCCTCATGTTGTCCTGGAGCTCAGCCAGAGGGTTGAGGTACTCTATGGCTTTGCCTGCTTTCACTTCCTCAAGTTTGGCTTCATACTGACCCATCCTCTCCTTGTAAAGTCTAGGAAACAGGAAATAAATATTGGGTATATAGTTGACCTCATACTGACCCTTCCTATCCTTGTAAAGTCTAGGAAACAGGAAATAAATATTGGGTACATAGTTGACCTCATACTGACCCATCCTCTCCTTGTAAAGTCTAGGAAACAGGAAATAAATATTGGGTATATAGTTGACCTCATACAGACCCATCCTATCCTTGTAAAGTCTAGGAAACAGGAAATAAATATTCGGTATAGTTGATCATGACATCATTCTGACCTATCTTCTGATACTACAGAAAACAGATTTATTTTATAGCATTGGACTAATGAACACATAATTAAATATAACTGTACAGCTGTCTACACTAGCTTATTATCAGTAGGACCATAAGTATAAGCTTTTGATTCTGAAACTAGAATTATGTCAGTGTGACATTAAAGCCGCTCACCACTTTAAATTGAATTGCTTCAATAACACGTTGAGCATCAATTTCTTCTATAATACCAGAGATATGTTTTCTGTATTCTGCTAATTGAAACTCAGGTCATGTGATGATGTTGCCTTTGGGATTTCCAAAATCAGTCACCTCTTAAATGATGTCTTTAAAACATTTCTCCGTCTCCTCTTTTTCACCCTCTTTAAGTGTGACGCATTGTTGTAATTTTCATTAATTAGCATCCTCAAATGATGTGACATGAGCATTTACGTGCAGAATGGCAATCGGTGAATGGTTAATAAAGAATAGGTGCATTTTGTGATTGTGAAATGAAGAATTAACAGTATGGGGGGAAAATGCATGGAGAAAAGAGACATTGTACTCCTTTTATTTTTATTTATTCATATTAATAATAATTATTGATATATGTAGTGACTTTATTTACTATCATTTAATATAAAAAATCTCACAAAATCTCACAAATGTTCTTGGAATATACTTGAATTACATTTCTCAATGTGACTTTACCAAGGTAAGAGTTATTTCCCTTACACCGGATTGGATAATATTTTGATACGGCACAAATTCTTGTCAGACAGCAGACAGTTGTGTCATGTTCTTGAATTGTTACATTTTCATAAATAAATACACCAGAAATAGCATGCTGTGTAACAGAAATGTTTGATAAGCATACACAGTTTACATATCGTCTGGTCATTTTGTTTTCAGCAATTATATAAAGTATGGATTATTACTTGGAGAAGAGTATCAGAAGACTTTATGCTACCCACAGGTGAGTGTCAAGAGATTCTACTTTCTATTTACGATAACGAAACTATATAGCGGAAGCATACATGACTGAATTATGCGCACGCATCCCAAACGGAAGTGGGTCCGTCATTTCGTTCTCTGGACAGAATTAATAAGCCGCTCAGCTCTCGCCAAGAACGGCTTAAAAAGATCATACTTAAGCAGAAATAGTGTGATGCATAACATGGAGTAGGTGTTTGTTAAACTAAACATTGTTTATCATAAATTAGATTTCACTGTCTGTGAACTTGATAAGCTTGAATTTTTTAAGAAAGAAAAATCAAAATACATGTGTAGTGTATATATAATGATAATAATAATAATAATATACAACATTTGATATAGCGCCCTATCTAGCTAACATAAGCCACTCTAAAGCGCTTTACAGTACATAGATATACAATTGATACAATTAGGATATACAATTTTGAGGAATTCGCAGGAGCTGCCTAACAGGCTCTAACTACTAGTCCTATGCCACCTGGCTAATATCTCCCCATGTGTGTATGCCTGCGTGTGTGCTGGAGATGAATTTTGTATATATGATATTTTGGTGATTATAAAATCAACTTCATCAACAAAAGAACACTTCTGATGTTCCCTCACTATACATACTGCTCTTTATGGTCAGTAAACTGTCTTTCCAAATCAATAGATACATACTGCTTTTTAAGGTCAGTAAACTGTCTTTCCAAATCAATAGATACATACTGCTCTTTATGGTCAGAAAACTGTCTTTCCAAATCAATAGATACATACTGCTCTTTAAGGTCAGTAAACTGTCTTTCCAAATCAATCATGTCATCCAGGAACTCATTTTTACGCCTTTCACATTCTTCTTCATCCAGATCTGAAATTGAAAACTTTAATTTGTTTGAATCTACACTATGAATTGAATTTACACTGTGAACTAAATAGACACTATGAAGTAATAAGAAATACAATCTCTTTTATGAGAAACAGAAAATCAAATATATATACAAAATATATATATATCATTTATAGCAACAAGCAAATGGTATGTATGTATATACCGAGGAAATACTTCCATTAACGTAGTTCTATTGTTCTGTGGTTTCACTGGTGGGTATTGAACAAAAGTAAATGATGAGTTAATTTGTATCAGAGAATTACGAAATGGGCCAGAGTGATTAATAGGGAGGTGATCATGACAACCCTTTACCCCAGCAAGCTACAGGCCATTATTAAATTGTATTATTATATAAAAAATTACAACCTTGACTTTAGCAGACGTGTGTAGATATTTACAATAAAACATCCCAGTGTAGAATACTGACTACGGTACCAATAAAATGATCGAAGTGTTGCAATATATATGTATGTACATTACAGTGATTTTTTACTCAGTTTTACTATCGAATACAGGCTGTGTGCATGTTTCTCCTAGCTAAGAAGTGATTTATTTTCCAAACATCACCAAAAACTGAGGAATATCTTCCAAATTTGAATACAAATACTGTTATACTTTCCCAATTCATGTAGGAACATGTACAGGATGTAGTAAAATTTAGAAACAAAAACACATATATACATGTATGTACATGGTATGAAGACTAAATAATCAACACAATAATTATAAACAGGTTTAAATACCACTGAAGTTGTTGCAAGTAGGTAGGACGGGCGAGTTATTGGAATAAAAGTAGTTTTTTGTTTATGCATTTCAAGTCACTGGTAGGTTAAACTGTTTTCCTGGTTTTCCTTTATACAAACAGGTTCCACGCCTTGTGTCATTACACTTATAAAACTGTATAGCAAACAGCTGCTATGTTCTGTAGAAGTATTTTTTAACTTTTCCCTTAATTTTATGAGGATTTTAAGATTCCAACCTAGCATCTGCTTTAAAGAATATATATCACACATTTGATAAGTAGAATGTACATACCCTTACACTTTTATGCCAGACAGGGAATCAAGGAAGTATTCATCACTTTTGCCATATGTCCATATGGTGCAGATTGTGTGTTATAATGAATTCAAATGGTAAATTGGTGTTTTCTTTGTCCAAGCACAATTCTTATAATTCCTCTTATTTCAATTTCAACTCTTATTTTATTGTAGCTGGACTGGGTAACTTAATTGGTAGAGTGTCTATCTGGAGTTTGAAGGGTCCAGGGTTAGAATCCCGGTCTGGCCATATATCATTTTTTTTCTCTCCATTGAGCGAATGAGTGACAAAATTGGTGAGCTTGTGAAGCCTTGCAATTGTTTCAAGCACTGGGTGAATGCTTAGCAAAAGGATATCATGACAGAACCCAAGTTATGAATTGTTGTGTCTTCCGGGGCAAAGACTTAGAAAAAAGGAGAGAGGGTGTAGCGGAACTGGACTGTGTTGATCGTTAGCAACTTAAGGTAGCTCAATTGGATGTGTCCATTTAGAATTTGGAGGGTCCCGTGTTCGAATCACAGTCTCACATATACTTAATATATCGAAATTGTGAGATCCCCCCTCCCTCCACCCAAAAAAATAATAATTTGAATTTGAATATTGTCAACGTTTGCGTTTTAAGTCTGTAAACTTCTACACATAACATGTTTAAAGTGAAAGTAAACACAATATTAAGATGCGTCAGATTTATTTTTACTTAAGTCTATTTCAGGTTTCATTTTAATCATAGAAAAAAATGGGATTAAAATCTGCAAGCTCTAAGAGACCAAAATATGACTCCTTCAAGGTAAGATAACCAATCATCATTGCCAGTAAAACCGGGGGGGGGGGGGGGGGGGTGTCATTACGTTGTGGCAATATTTGACACCATGTTTCACATAAATTTACGTTTATTAAGATCCACGTTAAAGAAAACAAATACATATTTAACAATGGTACATCAATTTGCAATGCAAAGATATTTAAATGTGAATAGAAAATCTCCAAAATGAAGAGCATTTTCCCAAATGCAATCGCCATCGACCAATGCAAAGGGATTCCTTACAGGGAGATCACTCTAACGGTAAACCACATACCCGACTCATCTTCGTCCATAGAACCCAATTCAGACTCATCTTCTGAACTTTTATCGCTATCTGGCGATTCATGTTCCATTTCTTCGTCTTCCTCTCCTTTACCGTTCTCTATAGTTGGCATTTCCTCGTCTAAATGCCGTGGAACAAGAAAAAAACCTCCATCAAAACAAACATGCCTCAATTTCAAAGTGCGCCAAGCGGAAGTGTGTAAGAATAGAAAATATTGAGTGCGCATGACTTGTGGAATACCCCTCACTGATCGGGAAATCCTCCTTTTATAGACTTGCACAAGTCTATACAATATAATCCGTAACATTTGTTATTGATCTATTACAAACGGAGCTTCTTTATTGACCTTATCGTATTTTTATAGAATCATGATAATTATCTGGTAGCTTCTGGTGTCCATACATATGCAGTGACATGTCATCTTACATAAATGGATTGTAATATTTACTTGTATGTGCTATCTCAGTGTTGCATTTGAAAATAAAGAAATTGAAATGCCATAATTCCTTTTTCCTTACCTACTTTATTTTCCAGTTGGGTTCTATAGATCTATGTTGATTATAGCAGAGACGTATATATATATATATTACATTACAAATTACATTACATGATATATACGTCTCTGATTATAGTTTACTTTTCAATAAATTTTCCTGACTTCGTTTTTCGTCCCTTTTCAATAAAATTCGACACACAACTAGAAAATTATACAAATTTTCTGTTGAAATTAATTTAGATACTTAAATGGGACGAAAATCGAAGTCAGGTCATTGTCATCCTCGGATTTAAGGTTTGTGTTATCACATACTTTTAAATCATCACATATGGCATGTAACAATATTTTTCCATTTTCAAAATAAGTTTTAAGCATAGGATAACTCAAACTATGAAAGCAGGACATTATCTAATTTCCAGAGACTCCTTGATTAATCTCAATTTGCCAAATACATAAATCACGACTCCACCCGCGTGAACTATTAACATATAACCAAAACTAAACAACTCCTTGATAACGAAGGTGATCATTTTTTCTCATCATTATTTCTTTTTTTACATGCTCTAGTATGACCGTATGATAATGTGTAAACAATCTTTCATCTGCGAATTCTGTTAGCCGCATATCATACTTTCGTTTTTTTATTTTTTTTTCTTCTCTTTTGATTCATTATAATTCAAAAATAAAGAAAACTTAACAAACAGTCTATATAACTAAGCCGAATGACTGAAAATCATCGGGAACTCATATATATATATATATAAATGCATTGATTTCAGGAAACCAAGATGACATCACACGAGAGGGTCACATGATGTCACAGTTCCGATAGTGAGAAGTGCTGGTCATTTAACGACATGAAAGGAACTGTAAAAAACACACACTGAAAAATATTAAAAAAAGACAGAAGAAATGAGTAAGGGTCAAACCAAATGCAAAGGCTTGGTCAAGATACCCTACGTGCAAGGGACATCTGAGGCGTTTGCCTGGGTTTGGTTTGAATTGGTTTAGTATTGTTTAACGTCCTATCAACAGCTATGGTCATTTAAGGACGGCCTCCCCTGTGTGCAAGGTGTATGCGTGTGTTTTTTGGGAGGCTGCGATATGTTCGTGTTTGTCTTCTTGCGGAACTGATGCCGACTTTATAGTGCTACCTCACTGGAACATACTGCCGAAGACACCCAGCAGGACACCCCACCCGGTCACATTATACTGACAACGGGCGAACCAGTCGTCCCACTCCTAAATTGCTGAGCGATATAGCGACAATGAGCAACACTAATTCGACGTCATACCACTAATCCACGACTACTATTGACGCATCTACTGGTGTAACTGGTACTTACACCCGGTCTGTACCTCATCTACTGGTGTAACTGGTACACACCCCCGGTCTGTACCTCATCTACTGGTGTAACTGGTACACACTCCCGGTCTGTACCTCATCTACTGGTGTAACTGGTACACACACCCGGTCTGTACCTCATCTACTGGTGTAACTGGTACACACATCCGGTCTGTACCTCATCTACTGGTGTTACTGGTACACACACCCGGTATGTACCTCATCTACTGGTGTAACCGGTACACACACCCGGTCTATACCTCATCTACTGGTGTAACTGGTACATACACCCGGTCTGTACCTCATCTACTGGTGTAACTGGTATACACCCCCGGTCTGTACCTCATCTACTGGTGTAACTGGTACACACCCCGGTCTGTACCTCATCTACTGGTGTAACTCGTACACAACCCCGGTCTGTACCTCATCTACTGGCGTAACCGGTACACACACCCGGTCTGTACCTCATCTGCTGGTGTAACCGGTACACACACCCGGTCTATACCTCATCTACTGGTGTAACTGGTTCATACACCCGGTCTGTACCTCATCTACTGGTGTAACTGGTACACACACCCGGTCTGTACCTCCCGCTCTGTAGCATGCACTCGCAAAACATCCGCCACCCAGTACAATAAATCGGCATCACGCCAACACATAAAATCACATCATCGATCGGGACAATGCCATAAAACGAGAAAAATGAAAGAAGCAATCAAAATCAGGAAAACATGAAAAGAGACGAGGGGGCCCCATCTGAGTCATCAGTATGACCGATACTGACCTAACGGGAGAGGGAGTTAGATCTACACCCAACCAGTAACCTATTCGATACAGTGCGTAAACACTCTCTATCGATAGGCGAAGCGTCATGCATCAAGTGAAATATGAAATATACAATTTCGTCACGCTATTGTACATGTAAACAATTCAAATCGCTCACTCAGTCATAGCTTGCAGTCGGTATTGAACGTTGCGACACGTTTAATACCTAAGTTGTTTGTGTATCAAGTAAAATTTTGATATTATTTCATAAACTGTTGGATTTAACACAAACGACGTAAAAACCACATGTGGTACTAGTGTTGTGTGATTTACAAATTATCCTCAAATTTACAAATAATATACGTAATCGAAATATATCAAAAATACGAATAATGAACAATACCACTTTTCCCCTAGATTGATATTACACGATACAAGGTGGAAGGTCAGCATTGACGTTGCGAATCAAATCCACACGTGTTACAACCTTTAATCGATAGGGAAGTCTGTGTCGTCAGATCCACAAAGAAGCGTAGATTCAAAAGGTGGTGTTTGTGATCGATGTCTGCTGATGTGGTGAACGGCTGATGTGTACACCTAGCCACGTCACCACGTGGAGTCAATTATCAATAAAAACTGAAGAGGTGTAAACAGCAAAACACATACAACTTAGGCTTTATCTTCAACTGGAGAGAATGAAAACGGCAAGTGCGGTGCTACTTTTCTTATATGTCTTCAAATTATCCAGGTAAGTTTTATTTTGTTTGTGAGTTTTCTGTAATAAGCTACGATCATATCTTACATTCTACATCTAAAAGCCGACATACAGAACGTATATATCCGTGTAACATGTTATAGTATGGGTTGAATTCAATATAGGTTGATAAATGTTGTTTGGATTTTTGTAAACGGCCGACTGTTATCTGCGATTTCTTATCAGTGTAAGGCGGGTCAGGTTCCTTTCACTTGGAGGAGCGGAGCGATTTAAAAAGGAACCCCTCTCTTTTCATTCGATAGGTACATTTTACTACCTGATTAATAGCAACATGGTTGTGTCATTTTCATTTTGATAAAGATTAACGACATCACTGGCAAAATAAAGGCAATATACGATTTTAAAATGAGATATTGGCTGATAGAAGGCAGCATCGCATTTCTATAATACTGAAGTGCTATGTCAAACGAGTATATGTGGTATAACCCGTGATACTATAATAACCCCTCTGTATTCTTCACATACACATCAGGTTACTCTCATACTCTCACATACACATCAGGTTACTCTCATACTCTCACATACAACTTCAAAGTCATAACGCAGAATAAAAAGAATGAACATCCACAACCCTTCTATATACATATATACCCTACCATACACTCACATACCCCCACTAACATCCACAACCCTTCTATATACATATATCACCCTACCATACACTCACATACCCCACTAACATCAACAACCCTTCAATATACATATATCACCCTACCATACACTCACATACCCCCACTAACATCCACAACCCTTCTATATACATATATACCCCTACCATACACTCACATACCCCCACTAACATACACACCCCTTCAATATACATATATACCCCACCATACACTCACATACCCCCACTAACATCCATAGCCCTTCAATATACATATATACCCCACCATACACTCACAAACCCCCGCTAACATCCACAACCCTTCTATATACATATATACCCCTACCATACACTCACATACCCCCACTAACATACACAACCCTTCAATATACATATATACCCCACCATAAACTCTCATACCTCCACTAACATACACAACCCTTCAATATACATATCTACCCCACCATACACTCACATACCCCCACTAACATCCATAGCCCTTCAATATACATATATACCCCACCATACCCTCACATACCTCCACTAACATACACAACCCTTCAATATACATATATCCCCCACCATACACTCTCATACCCCCACTAACATACACAACCCTTCAATATACATATATCCCCCACCATACACTCACAACCCCCCACTAACATCCACATCCCTTCAATATACATATATACCCCACCATACACTCTCATACCTCCACTAACATACACAACCCTTCAATATACATATATCCCCCACCATACACTCTCATACCCCCACTAACATACACAACCCTTCAATATACATATATCCCCCACCATACCCTCACATACCCCCACTAACATACACAACCCTTCAATATACATATATACCCCCCCATACACTCACATACCCCACTAACATCCACAACCCTTCAATATACATATATACCCCCCCATACACTCACATACCCCACTAACATCCACAACCCATCAATATACATATATACCCCACCATACACTCACATACCCCACTAACATCCACAACCCTTCAATATACATATACCCCACCATACACTCATATACCCCCACTAACATCCACAACCCCTCTATATACATATATTCCCCTACCATACACTCACATACCCCCACTAACATCCATAGCCCGTCAATATACATATATACCCCACCATACACTCCCAAACCCCCACTAACATCCACAACCCTTCAATATACATATACCCCACCATACACTCATATACCCCCACTAACATCCACAACCCTTCTATATACATATATACCCCAACCATACACTCACATACCCCCACTAACATCCACAACCCTTCTATATACATATACCCCCCCATACACTCATATACCCCCACTAACATCCACAACCCTTCTATATACATATACCCCCCCATACACTCATATACCCCCACTAACATCCACAACCCCTCTATATACATATATTCCCCTACCATACACTCACATACCCCCACTAACATCCACAACCCTTCTATATACATATATCACCCCACCATACACTCACATACCCTGCTAACAACCACAACCCTTCTATACACATATAAACCACCCCACAACCCTTCAATATACATATATACCCCACAATACACTTACATACCCCCACTAACATCCACAACCCTTCAATATACATATACCCCACCATACACTCATATACCCCCACTAACATCCACAACCCCTCTATATACATATATTCCCCTACCATACACTCACATACCCCCACTAACATCCACAACCCTTCAATATACATATATCCCCCCACCATACACTCACATACCCCCGCTAACATCCACAACCCTTCTATATATATCTCCCCACCATCATACACTCACATACCCCCCGCTAACATCCACAACCCTTCTATGTATACATATTTCACCACCATACACTCACATACCCTTCTAACAACCACAACCCTTCTATACACATATAAACCACCACCATACACTCACATACCCCCCGCTAACATCCACAACCCTTCTAGGTATACATATTTCACCACCGTACACTCACATATCCCCGCTAACATCCACAACCCTTCTATATATGCATATATCCCTACCATACACTCACATACCCCTGCTAACATCCATATCCCTTCTATATATATATATATATNCTCACATACCCCCGCTAACATCCACACATATGTCTCTCGTAAATCATTCCTTCTGACAGTTTTAATTGGTAATATATACATCAGAAATAAACTTACTTTTCATTACCATTTCAGAGCAGAGGATTGTGACGTCAGGATGTGGTATCTGAAAATGACGACAAAAGGAGTTTTTGACGGGGAACTGAGCGAGGAGAAATTATTCATACAAAAGACAATTAATGACATGGTTTTAATCAGCAAAAAGGATCAAACGAAACGAAAAGTAAGCTGCGCTGTTCTAGAAATGTATGAAGAAATGCTAAAACCCGACGAAGAAGGGGACGCAGCTGGCACGCAAGATGACAACGAAGAGGGTCAAGGCCAAGAAAGAAATAGTTTAGATAAAACGGAGGACATTGAGTCTGGAGGAAGGGAGGACACTGAGTCAGGAGGAAGGGAGGACAATGAGTCAGGAGGAAGGGGTGACACTGAGTCAGAGGGAAGGGATGACACTGAGTCAGGAGGAAGGGAGGACACTGAGTCAGGAGGAAGGGCAAGCACTGAGTCAGAGGGAAGGGATGACACTGAGTCAGGAGGAAGGGAAGACACTGGGTCAGGAGGAAGGGAGGACACTGAGTCAGAGGGAAGGGAGGACACTGAGTCAGGAGGAAGGGAGGACACTGAGTCAGGAGAGTCACTAGCCGGTAGTGCAGTAGGAACGGAAAACCCCGAGTCAAAACTGAACGAAGACCGATTGAGTGAAGATGTTTCAGCACTCACAGGGGATGTAAATGACGATGACACGGACCCAATTGTGGATGATAGTGAAGAGACTGTTGATCACTCAACAGATAAAGGTACAGATTTACACAATGGATTGGAAGCCGATGAAACAGAAGTATTTTCTGATGATTCCGATGGCGAGGAAGAAATGGAGGAAATTAAGGAATTAAATTCAAATGAAGAACATGTTTTGTCAGGTGGTTCATCAGATGATTTAGAAAAAGTCGAACACGAAGAAATAGCATTGTTAACGATGGATGAATTGGAAGGAACAATTACAGCTGATGGCGATAATTCTGTGGAAATTCATAAGGAAGCTATAACCACTGGTGAGGGTGCTATTGGGGAAAGCAAGGAAGACGAAGAAGAAAAACACGACGATCCTAAAGTCCCCGTGGAGACGGAAAAGGAACCGACAGAAAGTGAATCTGAGAGAGATAAAAACGTGGATCAAAGACAAATAGAACAAACTGAAAATGAGAACAAAGACAAGAAACCGGCAATAAAAGACGAATTAGATACAGGTGACAGTGCTGTTGTGAATAAAAAGGAAACAAAGGAAGGCGGCTTGGATGATGCGTCTAGAGCTAGTGAAAACGAAGAGGAAGAAATAGATAAAAACAACGAGAATGAAGACGATAAGAAACTAACCGACGATGGGAAATATGGCGGTTCTGAATTAGAGAACGTTCACAGAACAGAAACAGAAAGCACGGTAATACTGGATATAAACGGAGGATACGGAAACAAAGAGTCAACCGGAGGCAATATCTCTGAATTGTCCTTCAATACATCAGCTACCGACAGGGACGTTTTAAAGGAACTCAAAAGTGCAAAAGGAGAAAATGAAAACAACACAATCTCTTTTGCGACATGCAGAAAAGATCGCAGTTACCGGTTCGATATATTCGACCACGTGCAGAAAAGATATAGTTTTGTAGAAAATACGAAACATAACAATAAAACGGAAACGCATAATAATACCAGTCATGGTAAATATACGTTAAACCAAGAAATCAGTAGATCGAGTTTATCTTTTCCGACGAACTTAACTAACAGTCGACTTGTGTGTTCACCGTGTAGTCTGCTGATGAAGTACTACACAGTTAACACTTCATGTAGTGTTGATACTATTTCAAGTATATACACTCAATTAAAATCAAACGAAACGCAAAATAATCAAACTAACACTCACAGTAATAACACAGAATCTACACCAGGGCGGGAAGCATTGAATTCCGTAAAAACCGAGGAAACACAAACCAACATTTCGGAAACATTATCAAGTACTACTGATGCTGACGAAGAAAGCAAAGATATTGAATCAGGCGCAAAAATACATGACACAAACGTTGAGGTCTTAAAAGTAACCGGTAAGCATGGAGATGAGGCGGAATCAAAAGAAACGGACGAAACGGGTATAGATAAAGACAGAACACCCGGTGTTGATAGTAAAACAGCAAGTATTGATACCAATGCTCGAAACAAGCCTACAGAGATGGAAATGTTCGAAAACAGTTTAGTTAACGATCAACCTAATGAAAAAAGTCTACAAATTTCGAATGAAAGACGATCAAGTGATGAAATATTACCACCAGACGCAAGTTTATATTCACTGAAAGATGATGTCAAGAGCATGGATGTAAACAAAGGTAGTGATGAAAAGTTATCTACGGAAGAGAATGGATCAGCAGCTGATGGAACGACGGAACATAAAACAGGTCGTCATGGAAACATAGAAACTGCAAACACAATAACATCAGCGGAAACGAAAAAGGGACAAGATACAAAGACAAATGTAGACAAACACAATGACGAAAAGTTTACAACAGCAGAAAATATGTTGGAACATAAACAAAAGACAGAGCAGGTGGCAGGTACATATGGAAATCCAGAAAATGATGACTTGACAGAAAGAAGAAATGACCAACCTAGGAAAGCAGCTGACACGACAGTTACCAATACTGAAGCAGTAGGAACAAAGCATAGAACTGATCAGCCGGACAAACCAGAAACCACTTTAGACGAAAAACAAACAAAACATGAAGAGAAACAAACAACAGCCGAAGGGAAGCAATTAACAATTGACGAACAGCTATCTCCGAATCAAGCTTCAGGCATACCGGACAATACTCTTATTCTAGAACAACTTCAATCAAATTTCGATCACTTTCAAAAACAAGTTGTTAGTAAAACTGATGGTTATTCGAACAAACTGCAGACTCTTGAATTAATGGTTATTCGACTGGAGAATCAGTTACTGAAGGAGAAACTTAACAAAAACAATCATTCCAGCACCATAACAAGGATGGAAAATCACATCCTTAGACTAGAAAATGAATTGCTTAAACTAAATCAGAGTTACAATGAAGTAAAAAAGGAGAGCGATTCAATGGTGCAGGATAGAAAGAAATATTTGCAACTCGGCCAAGGATCCCAACAGACGCCAGCCTATGGCTATTCCGTAATGCGTGGACGAGCTCACCCTGTCAGTATCGACTTTCAGGCTAAGATCAGCTACTTGACAAACCTACTGAACAATCAGTCAATGACTATCAGACAACTCAAAACGCGATCTCAGTATTTGGAAGACCAGAACCGACTTCTTTACAATATGATCATGAACCAAACAGCGTTGATGACCCAGATCATGACACGAGTTCAGGATCTCACAGAGCAAAATATACAACAAAGAATAGAGGCACACAAAATCCGGCAGCAGATGGAGCAAATAGTAAGCAAAAGTAGCGTGGTCGAAACGACCGACAAGTTTTTATTGAATAAACTGGAGGAAATGGTGTCAGATGTTCAAAAAAGAACAATAGATGAAGACGATAAGGTCAATCTGGGACGAACAAAAGCGCCCACCGTAAAGGATAAGTCTGAAGAGGAACTCGAAAAATACATGCAAAATGAAAGTGTGTTGCCAACTGAAACCTGGTGCGGGCCTTCATCTGGAGTTTGCATTCCATTTTCACTATTTCAATGGAAAACATGTGTAGAAAGCAAATCCGATGGAAAAGAAACGCGTAAAAGTATCTCGAAATTATCAGGCATACCAAAAGGTACAGAACATATAACAAAACGAAAGTCCACTGCCAACTTATCTTCAGTTGATGTCAAACAAAAGGAAGAAGATACCTCCTCGAACGACGAAATGAAAAAGGATTTTCCTTCTACAACAAAAGTAACAAATACAAAATTGGATTCAACTCAAACCAATACAATAGATACTAAAGTGAAAGACACTCCAGTAACTGAACAGAAGGAAAGGGACTCCAATAATGGTGTAAAAACACAACTTGAAAACAAAGAGAATGAAAAGGGAAGAGATTCCGATGCTAAGAAAAGTGAAGAAATCAAAAAAGAGTTCCAAAATAAAACTTCAGAAGCTTCTGCCAAGAGGACTGAGGAGAATCCTACAAAAGTGAACGAAACCACTTTAACCGAAGGCAAAACAGATGTCAAAGATATCGTACAAGAAACACCACATCCAACTGAAATGGAAGTCAAGTCAGTTAAAGATACATCACAAAAGCAAGGGGGATCGGGTACGACCACCAAGGTATCTACACAGCCAGATTCAGGGAGTAAAGTAACAGCACACACACCTGATGATGGCGGAGAAAAGATTAAAATATCACCGTCAAAAGAAGATTCGAATGTAGCTACGACAGATAAGTCAAGTGATGAAAAGATGTCATCACATATTAACACAAAAGCAGATAACCCGGGGGAATACGCTCCTCCTGAAACAACTGAAAAGGAAGTATCGGGAAAAGAGTTGGATGACAAAGTCGGGGAACTTAAACCGAGCGAGGACACCAGGCAGCAAAAGGTAACCGGTGCCTCAAAGGAAGCAACCTTAGAAAAAGGGACGACATCTCAAAGCCCAGAACAGAAAAACAACAAACCTACAGAAAGTACGTACAAGAACGAAGAGAATGATGATACAAAGGAGGTTAAAGAAACAAACGATTTCAAGGAACTAACGAAGGAAACATCAGTGAAAGGCGACGTTAAGGATCAGGATAGAAAGGTAAAGGAATCTAAAACGGAGCTCACGAAAGAGGCGATACCAGATCTTCAGAATAAACAACCAAAAAAGGAAATACCGAAGGCGAAGAAAGACGATGAAGCCAAAGTGGTAAAAGTTAAATCTCAAGAAAAGAAACCAAAAGAGCCTTTGAAGAAGCCAATTAAATATGAAGCTGATGGACAGAAAGAGCCAAAAGGTAGTTATATACTCCTATTTTCGCTTATTAACTTTTTCGATATCTACTAAAAATAATTATTAAAATTTTGCGATATCTACTAAAAAACCTTACTAAAGGTTTGCTCATGCATTATAAAGTTAACATACTCACTATACCTCTTTCGGTAGGCCTGGACTCATCCGTGCCTCGCGTTTGTTTTCACGGTTTTTGTATCTCGGAAACATCATGACGAGTGCCACATTTGGTGCAGGAATACTTAGCCTCCGTTTTATTTGTGGGGGTTCGTGTTGACTTCTTTTTTGTTTTGATGTCCTCCTCGTTGCTATTGTCATTTCATATTAAATTTAGTTCTAGGTAAATCAGGTGCTACTGTACAAACGTTACCAGTGTATTCAGAGTTAGGATTTGCCATTAAGTTTGACACGTTTCCCCTGCAGATTGTTACGACTACTACAAACGTGGTAACCAGAAGAACGGCGTGTTTAAGATTAAACCATACGGGAAACAGTCAATGGTGGAGGTCTTCTGTGACATGAAGAATGGAGGATGGACTTTGGTTCACAAACGACAAGATGGCACGACCAAGTTTCTGAAGAAATGGCAAGACTTTAAGGAAGGATTCGGAGGTAAACGCTTATTTGGCTCATAGCATCACCGAAGGACGAAACAGGTGTATGGTTCAGTGTAGTATATCTTTAGCAAACTGTATCAATTACCAAAGTCTACAGGTGTATGGTTCAGTGTAGTATATCTACATACTGTATCAATTACCCAATGTTACAGGTGTATGGTTCCGTGTAGTATATCTACATACTGTAATAATTACCCAATGTTACAGATGTATGGTTCAGTGTAGTATATCTACACACTGTATCAATTACCAAAGTCTACAGGTGTATGGTTCAGTGTAGTATAGCTTCATACTGTATCAATTACTCGATGTTACAGGTGTATGGTACAGTGTAGTATATCTACATAATGTAACAATTACCCTATTGTACAGGTGTATGGTTCCGTGTAGTATCTCTACATACTGTAATAATTACCCAATGTTACAGATGTATGGTTCCGTGTAGTATCTCTACATACTGTAATAATTACCCAATGTTACAGATGTATGGTTCCGTGTAGTAAATCTACATACTGGATCAATTACCCAATGTTACATGTGTATGGTTCAGTGTAGTATAGCTTCATACTGTATCAATTACTCAATGTTACAGGTGTATGGTTCAGTGTAGTATATCTTCATACTGTATCAATTACCCGATGTTACAGGTGTATGGTTCAGTGTAGTATATCTACATACTGTATCAATTACGAAAGTTTACAGGTGACTGGTATAGTATATCTACATAATGTATCAATTACTCAATGTTACAGGTGTATGGTTCAGTCTAGTATATCTTCATACTGTATCAATTACCCGATGTTACAGGTGTATGGTTCAGTGTAGTATATCTACATACTGTATCAATTACGAAAGTTTACAGGTGACTGGTATAGTATATCTACATACTGTATCAATTACTCAATGTTACAGGTGTATGGTTCAGTGTAGTATATCTACATAATGTAACAATTACCCTATTGTACAGGTGTATGGTTCCGTGTAGTATATCTACATACTGTATCAATTACCCAATGTTACAGGTGAATGGTTCAGTGTAGCATATCTACATACTGTATCAATTACCAAAGTCTACAGGTGTATGGTTCAGTGTAGTATATCTACATTCTGTATCAATAACCCAATGTTACAGGTGTATGGTTCAGTGTAGTATATCTACATACTGTAACAATTACTCAATGTTATAGGTGTATGGTTCAGTGTAGTATATCTACATTCTGTATCAATTACTCCATGTTACAGGTGTACGGTTCAGTGTAGTATATCTGCATACTGTAACAATTACTCAATGTTATAGGAGTATGGTTCAGTGTAGTAGATCTACATACTGTAACAATTATACAATATTTCAGGTGTATGGTTCAGTGTCGTATATCTACATACTGTAACAATTATACAATATTTCAGGTGTATGGTTCAGTGTAGTAGATCTACATACTGTAACAATTATACAATATTTCAGGTGTATGGTTCAGTGTAGCATATCTACATACTGCATCAATTACCCAATGTTACAGGTCAATGGTTCAGTGTAGCATATCTACATTCTGTATCAATAACCCAATGTTACAGGAGTATGGTTCAGTGTAGTAGATCTACATACTGTAACAATTACACAATATTTCAGGTGTATGGTTCAGTGTAGTATATCTACAGGTGTATGGTTCAGTGTAGTATATCTACATACTGTATCATTAACCCAATATATCAGGTGTATGGTTCAGTGTAGTATATCTACATACTGTAACAATTACACAATATTTCAGGTGTATGGTTCAGTGTAGTATATTTTGTATATCTACATACTGTACCAATTACACAATGTTACAGGTGTATGGTTCAGTGTAGTATATCTACATAATGTTACAATTACCCAATGTTACAGGTGTATGGTTCAGTGTAGTACATCTACATACTGTGCTAATTACACAATGTTACAGGTGTATGGTTCAGTGTAGTATTTTACAGGTGACTGGTATAGTATATCTACATACTGTATCAATTACTCAATGTTACAGGTGTATGGTTCAGTGTAGTATATTTACATACTGTATCAATTACCCAATGTTACAGGAGTATGGTTCAGTGTAGTATATTTACATACTGTATCAATTACCCAATGTTACAGGGGTATGGTTCAGTGTAGTATATCTACATACTGTATCAATTACACAATGTTACAGGTGTATGGTTCAGTGTAGTACATCTACATACTGTATCAATTACACAATGTTACAGGTGTATGGTTCAGTGTAGTACATCTACATACTGTATCAATTACACAATGTTACAGGTGTATGGTTCAGTGTAGTACATCTACATACTGTATCAATTACACAATGTTACAGGTGTATGGTTCAGTGTAGTACATCTACATACTGTGCTAATTACACAATGTTACAGGTGTATGGTTCAGTGTAGTATTTTACAGGTGACTGGTATAGTATATCTACATACTGTATCAATTACTCAATGTTACAGGTGTATGGTTCAGTGTAGTACATCTACATACTGTATCAATTACACAATGTTACAGGTGTATGGTTCAGTGTAGTATATTTTGTTTATCTACATACTGTACCAATTACACAATGTTACAGGTGTATGGTTTAGTGTAGTATATCTACATACTGTATCAATTACACAATGTTACAGGTGTATGGTTCAGTGTAGTACATCTACATACTGTGCTAATTACACAATGTTACAGGTGTATGGTTCCGTGTAGTATATCTACATACTGTATCAATTACCCAATGCTACAGATGTATGGTTCCGTGTAGTACATTTTGTATATCTACATACTGTATCAATTACTCCATGTTACAAGTGTATGGTTCAGTGTAGTATATCTACATACACCTGTAACAATTACCCTATTGTAAGGTGTATGGTTCAGTGTAGTATATCTACATAATGTTACAATTACCCAATGTTACAGGTGTATGGTTCCGTGTAGTATATGTACATACTGTATCAATTATCCAATGTTACAGGTGTATGGTTCAGTGTAGTATATCTACATAATGTAACAATTACCCTATGGTACAGGTGTATGGTTCCGTGTAGTATATCTACATGCTGTATTAATTACCCAATCTTACAGGTGTATGGTTCAGTGTAGTATATCTACATACTGTATCAATAACCAAAGTCTACGGGTGTATGGTATAGTATATCTACATACTGTATCAATTACTCAATGTTACAGGTGTATGGTTCAGTGTAGTATATCTACATACTGTACCAATTACCCAATGTTACAGGTGTATGGTTCAGTGTAGTATATCTACATACTGTAACAATTACCCAATGTCACAGGTGTATGGTTCAGTGTAGTATGTACACACTGTATCAATTACACAATGTTACAGGTGTTTGGTTCAGTGTATTATATCTTCATACTGTAACAATTACTCAATGTTACAGGTGTATGGTTCCGTGTAGTATATCTACATACTGTATCAATTACCCAATGTTACAGGTGTATGGTTCAGTGTAGTATACCTACATACTGTAACAAATTCCCTATTGTACAGGTGCAGTCACATGTGAGTCTTACGTTCATCTTTCAGGGTAATATAAATAAGAGAGCTATCAATCGGAAACTTATCTATCACGAACGTAATCTAACTCTCTAGGTGTAATCGGACTCGCACATTTGATGAGCTGGTAAGCCAAATACTCATTCATCATATGTAATGTGTCTTTGAGTGTAACATTCATTGAATAATTGATTATTGAACAGTTTATTTGAAAAGGACTTGTTGCTTGAGAGACTTGTTGGAAAAGAACTACTTTTTGTCCTCCGTCAAGCTATGCAAAATACTATTACTAACTTCAACTTGTAAAATGCCGTGATTCATTGCAAATTAGTATCACATTGACTTTTGACATTGCATTATCTTAAATCCTATAGTCTGTGCATGTTATCATAACACATACGTGGTGCTTCCGTATGCTTTATGAATGTTTAATTGGATTTCTAACCAAAAGTACTGTGTTTGAGACAATTCATTCCCGTCCCACTGCAGCAAAACAAAGGATAAATTTCATGTAAAAAAGTAGCCCCCCCCCCCCCCCCCCCCCCTAATATTGGAGAACAGAGAATTACCGCTGGTCAGCAACAGCTGTGATTGAAGGTCAAGGGGTGGAACTCCGGTTTCGCTCCGTTGCACATTTCTCTCAGATTACCGGTTTTTTCCCCTGTATTGTTATTATATTCCTTCACAAAAGTTCTGCATGGAACAGAGTTCTTTTCCAAAATGATGTATACAGGCTATCGTGATGCTGGTAACAGTTTGTTTTTAATTTATAGCTACAGTTTTTAGCAGTAAGGGGATCCTAAGCCTGGCAACATCTTCTCACTGAAAGTGGTAATCATCCAAGTGACACCCAACCTGAAGTTTCTTGGAGGGATGTCAGTCCATTTGTGAATTTTAAATAGCATCAGGGTCAGAAGAGTTTAAGTGTTCCGTAGGGTTACTTGGGTTGGCGCCCTGTATGCAAAATGTCTGTAAGCCCCGGTACAACTACCTTAATTCTAAATATCTTATGTGTTCCATCTTTCAGGCATTCGAGGAGAACATTGGCTAGGGAATGATCACATCCACTACCTGACCAACCAGGATCACTACACTCTAAGGATAGAACTCACAGACTGGAACAAAACCAAAAAAGTCGCCGAGTACGATTACTTCATGATCGATGACGAGAATGAAGGTTACAGACTTCATATTGGTGGTTACCATGGCGATGCAGGGGATGGGATGGCGAAGCACAACAACAATAAGTTTTCGACAATTGATGTAGACAATGACAAAGTCACCAAGGAATTCGGCGGGAGTTGTGCCAAGCGTTTTAGTGGGGCTTGGTGGTATTACAAGTGCTACATGTCAAATTTAAACGGAATCTTCTACAGAAACGGCGTGATACCGCCTAAACTGTTCGACGGTGTCGCCTGGAAACCTTGGACTGGTTCAAACTATTCTTTGAGAAGTGCCGAGATGAAGATAAGACCGAGTAACATCAGCCCAAAGTAAAATCATGTCTTTTTCTTTATAAGCAACCGTGGATTCAATGCATTCAATTGATATTTTATGATATTCACAATTGGAGTCGATTAGTGATCTGTGATGTGAAATTGAAATGCTGTGCAATACTTTATTCTTTATTAAGTGTTTGAGTGGGTGTTATGCGTGTAATTGAGAGGGTGTTATGTGTGTAATTGAGTGGGTGTTATGCGTGTAATTGAGTGGGTGTTATGCGTGTAATTGAGTGGGTGTGATGCTGTGAAAGCACAACCATGATCAACATATATGCACTTCAAACAATACTGATGAACATATACTATTTCAGTCGGAGGTTTTTGTTGAATTTGTCGGAAATATTTCAGTGGACTATAGCTCATGAAGTCAATATAGGAAACGTGAGGATACCTAAACTGGAATGCTGCCAAAAACGAACCATTTATCGTATAAATAACATTTCTATTTTACACGACAAGTGTATGATTTCTATTTAAATCAAAATCAAGATAAGTTTAGTCTTTAATCAAGATAGGTTTAGTCTTTAATCAAGATAGGTTTAAGGTATTTTGAGTATTTTTTGTGTCTATACTCCTTATTTTTTATCTGATAAAACATGCCAACCGGGAATGAAATTATTCCCTGAAACGGTATACTGTGACAACGCAAAAATCTTATCTCAAGGAAAGTATTGTTCAAATACAACACACAAAGGTAAAACAAGGTACAGTTTAATGGCTGTCCACGGTCTCATCAATTGACCAATATGGTCATCAGTTCCATCTTGGTTTCCCTCACTAGTACTGTGTCCTTATAAGACTCATGAGACCTATGCCGACATTTCTTCAGTAATTATACTCTTGTCTCTCCTGCTTACCAAGTTGAGATGTCACAATCAATTTCCAGACAATGGCTTAACCTCATTATGGATTCCACGTGTGTTTTGGGAAACACATGAGGTCTAGTTTCGCGACTGGGACTTTTTATTAATGTCGTCCTTTGTTTTTGGTGTGTACTTGGTTTGCGGTTGTGTGGCGTCTTTCATGATGTGGTATACTTCTGTGTCGACTTTGAGAGTATGTCATGGTGTGTTGACGATGTGGTGTACTTTCTGTGTCGACTTTGAGTGTATGTCATGGTGTGTTGACGATGTGGTATACTTTCTGTGTCGACTTTTTCAGTGTATGTCATGGTGTGTTGACGATGTGGTATACTTTCTGTGTCGACTTTGAGAGTATGTCATGGTGTGTTGACGATGTGGTATATTTTCTGTGTCGACTTTGAGTGTATGTCATGGTGTGTTGACGATGTGGTATACTTTCTCTGTCGACGTTGAGAGTATTTCATGATGTGTTGACGATGTGGTATACTTTCTGTATCGACTTTGAGAGTATGACATGGTGTGTTGACATGTGGTATACTTTTTGTGACGACATTGAGAGTATGTCATGGCGTGTTGACGATCTGGTATTCTGTCTCTGTCGACGTTGAGAGGATTTCATGGCGTGTTGACGATGTGGTATTCTTTCTGTTTCGACTTTTAGAGTATGTCATGGTGTGTTTACGATGTGGTATACTTTTTGTTAGAACATTGAGAGTATGTCATGGAGTGTTGACATGTGGTATACTTTTTGTTATAACATTGAGAGTATGTCATGGTGTGTTGACGATGTGGTATACTTTCTGTGTCGACTTTGACTGTATGTCATGGTGTGTTGACGATCTGGTATACTTTCTCTGTCGACGTTGAGAGTATTTCATGGTGTGTTGACGATGTGGTATACTTACTCTGTTGACGTTGAGAGTATGTCATGGTGTGTTGCCATGTGGTATACTTTTTGTTAGAACATTGAGAGTATGTTATGGTGTGTTGACGATGTGGTCTACTTTCTCTGTTGACGTTGAGAGTATTTCATGGGGTGTTGACGATGTGGTATACTTTCTCTGTCGACGTTGATAGTATTTCATGGTGTGTTGACGCTGTGGTATACTTTCTCTGTTGACGTTAAGAGTATTTCATGGTGTGTTGATGACGTGGTATACTTTCTGTATCGACTTTGAGAGTATGTCATGGTGTGTTGACGATGTGGTATACTTTCTGTGTCGACTTTTGAGTGTATGTCATGGTGTGTTGACGATGTGGTATACTTTCTCTGTTGACGTTGAGAGTATTTCATGGTGTGTTGACGATGTGGTATACTTTCTGTATCGACTTTGAGAGTATGTCATGGTGTGCTGACGATGTGGTATACTTTCTGTGTCGACTTTGAGAGTATGTCATGGTGTGTTGACGATGTGGTACACTTTCTGTGTCGACTTTGAGAGTATGTCATGGTGTGTTGACGATGTGGTATACTTTCTGTGTCGACTTTGATATTCTGTCACTGTGTTTTCCTCTACAGTGTTAATGGAATTTAAGCGTCCCATGAACAAAATGTATGCATAAGGAGACTGCCATCCTCGTCTTTATCAATGGGACATCACAAATGGACGAAACTTTCAAATGCATTACATCCTATAGAACAAGAGTTCCGTGAAACGGTACATGATACGCCCGTCAGATGTAGAATGAGCAGTTTGCCACAAAGGGCCATAAGTGCATACATTTTGGAGAGATAAGCGTCAAATCTACAAAGGGTTATCATGCTTGTCCGAGCTTTCATGGCAATGAACCTTCCTACCAAGTTTGAAATTAATCCTTACAAAATTACTCAAGTTATTGAGCGGAAACTGTTTCGGCAATTCTACAAAGGGCCATAACTCCATAAATAACTGGCAAATAATTTTGGTTATCGAACTTGTTCGAGCTTTTATGGCAATGAATGTTCCTATTAAGTTTGAAATGAATCCATTCAAAATTACTCAAGTTATTGAGCGGAAACTAATGTGTGCCCGCCCACGTGAAAACATAATACGTACCGTCATTGGACGGGCGTATAAAAATTATATACATGTAGTGCCATTTTAATTTGTATTGTATGAATGCTACCATTAGTGCCAAAAATTGCCATAACTTATCAATGTAATCAATTACCATTTTAACATGTACAAACCTCGAACCATACCTGATCAAACTTTCATGTTTTCACCAAAGTATGTGATTATCATCTTTGTTATAATAAAATATTCAATAACAATCATATACTTGTGTCGTTTTTGTTCAAACTTATACATGTACAGCTAATGTAATTTAATATCAGATAAAATGTGTCCAATATTTGTCACTTTAGTCATGGCAAATGATATCACTTTCTTAGATAGCATATAGAATGAGAATTCATCACACCTGTCACTTGTGTTATAGTTAAGGATATATGCTACCTTACCTACTCTACCTGTGATTTGTGTTTGTGTTAAAGATGTACTTTACATTTTGTACCTTACACATTATACTTATGATTGGGTATGAGTTAAGGTTATATGTTACCTTACACATTATACTTGTGATTGTGTATGGGTTAAGGTTATATATGCTACCTTACACAGTATACTTGTGATTGTGTATGGGTTAAGGTTATATATGCTACCTTACACATTATATTTGAGACTGTGTATGAGTTAAGGTTCCATGCTACCTTACACATTATACTTGTGATTGTGTATGGGTTAAGGTTATATATGCTACCTTACACATTATACTTGTGATTGTGTATGAGTTAAGGTTATATGCTACCTTACACATTATACTTGTGATTGTGTATGGGTTAAGGTTATATATGCTACCTTACACATTATACTTGTGATTGTGTATGGGTTAAGGTTATATGCTACCTTACACATTATATTTGAGACTGTGTATGAGTTAAGGTTACATGCTACCTTACACATTATACTTGTGATTGTGTATGAGTTAAGGTTATATGTTACCTTACACATTATACTTGTCATTGTGTTAGAGTTAAGGTTACATGCTACCTTACACATTATACTTGTGATTGTGTGCGAGTTAAGGTTACATGCTACCTTTCACATTATACTTGTCATTGTGTGCGAGTTAAGGTTACATGCTACCTTACACATTATACTTGTGATTGTGTTAGAGTTAAGGTAATATCCTATCTGATACATTATACTTGTGATTGTTGTGAGTTAAGGTTATATGTTACCTTACACATTATACTTGTGATTATGTTATGGTTGAAGAGCCCTAATTAAAATCTGCTCAATACAATTCAAATTAGTTTAGGTATCTTGCAAGATGTTCAATGAATAGAACAGCCATCTTACATAGAGGGTCAGTGATACCTAATGCTACAATGATGACTTCATAATAATGGTAACACTTGGGCCCTGGCATTTACGGTCTATATGAATGTCATCCATGCTTGATAGGGCTATAGAGTTGCAATGCTGTTGAGTGGTAAATATTAAGTTGTTTAACTGTGTTGATATGGCATTTACAGTGTATATGAAGGACACAGCTTTGCAGGCAGCATCGTATGTTTTATTTGACTTCAAAGCTGTGTCATTCATATTGACTCTGAGATATCAACAAAGTTCAATGCTTAAATTGAGCATTTTTGGAGTATTTTATACTGTATATGCTTTTTCAATGAAAGCCATGAACATTTCACAAATGAAATTTATTGGAACCAGAAGGAACATTGAGAGGAACCCTTAGTCGTTGTACTGGTGTTATATATAGTAACGAGTAATCGGAGGAACTGTACCAGTATTACATCCCAGTCTATGTATGGGGACCAGACGACCCGGACATTTTTGATAGTTTTATTTTAATGTATAACATACATCAACAACCTGCCACACTGTACAAACATTATTTAATAAATAATACAACAGTAATCAAATGTTTAATGATGAGAGCCGGTCATCTCTTTCCCAGGAACAATTTGGCCTTTAGTGTTTTTGGTACATGTCTAATGGTGAGTGAGACACGAGCTGACCTGGTCAGTTTGTCTCCAACACTGACCGATTTACACATGTCAAGGTTAGCCACTTTGTCTGTGATTACATCCGAGGTCCGCTCTGCAATTCCGTGAAGATGTAGTTTGTACATGTCCTCTGCTACAAATACGAGACTTCGAGGTTCCAGCAAAATAGACACAAAATGACGTTCATCCAGAGATGTACTGTTGTTCTGTAAAATAATTAAGAGTTTTCATCACTTTTTTCCAGTTTGAAGATTTATGTTTATATGCTTGAACTAAATTATTCACAAACTCTTGACAATCTTGTGTTCAGCTATTTGTACAATAATTAATCCTGAAATTTGTTTGTACTTTTCCAGTAGATTGAGAAGAGGTTCAACTCTACACTCTGAATTAGTCTGTCAAAGATTATATGTAAATTCTTTTCTCCAGTTTTTTTTAATTGTTTGTTGAAAAAATACCCCATGTAAGTTTGGAATATGTATGTTACATACTATCTATTCACTAAGTGCTTGTTAACCCCCGTTCACACGAAGGAAGTGGTAATACAGTGTAATGTGAAGAGTTATGATTTAATACGCCCAATCCTAAAATATGTTTGAATACCAATGTAATACTCTATACCTGTGTAATATCAGGGTCCTGTAAAGGTCTGACATTTGTTATTTACATGAGTGAAATCCTGGTAGTATAAATGTTTGAACTATAATACCTTTCTGTGTGAAAAGTTCTAATTGCTAAATACAACTTTGAATTTGTGAAGTATTATTTTTGCATTTTTGTCATGGATATTTTTGCCTGTAAATGTTTGAACTGTGTTTCCTACCTGTGTGGAGTCCTGGTCCTGCTTGATGTGATAATAGAAATCCAGCAGCGTATGTGACCCAAGACTGATGGTGGATACCGTCGGAAAAAACAATGAGCCGTCCTCATGGGGCTGCAGATAGGAAAATCATTTATACAGTGTGTCTACGAAAGTGATAAAGAAATACCAATACTGAATGTGAAGGCTGAGAGAATCATTCTGAGGTGTAAAGATCCGACAGATCAATCCTAAGGTAAACTTACAACAAGAGGCCCAGAGGGCCTTTACCGCTCACCTGGATATGTTTAAAGTACTTGATAAGAGGTAAAGATATAGCACTCCATGGTAGGTACTGTATGTACATATGAAATTTCAGAAAGATCCATCCATTTCTGGAGATATAGCAAGAACAAACTTCAAATGTCAAAATCCAAGATGGCGGCCTGGTGGCCATCTTATTTTAATGAATACACCCTAATAGTAACATGCATTACTAGACAATTTGATGGCGACAAAATTGGGACAAAATCCCACAATCCCTATGGTAGAAGTAGGATTTCAAAGGTTTTACCTCTATTTCCCCTATTGGGCCCCACCCCTCTGTCCTAAGGGGAGCCACACCCACCGTTTATACAAAATTAAGTCCCTTCTTGGTCCAAGGATGCTTCAGACTAAACTAGGATAAAATCCCTGTATCCCTATGGTAGAAGAAGGATTTAAAAGTTTTACCTCTATTTCCCCTATTGTGCCCCTCTCCTCTGCCCCTGCCCCTGCCGGCTTACTTGCCCTTCACGCAGGTGAGCAAAAATGTTAGTGTGGAAATTTTAACTATTTGAATGTTGCTTCACTACATACAATGTATTTCAGTGTCAGTGTTTTTGATTGGATAATAACCTGCCAATTGAACACAGGCAAAACATATCTGTTAAACAAGAGGCCCAAGGGCCTTAGCGGTCACCTGAGTTATATCATAGATACTGGTAGCTTTATTTTATTGTTTAGATGTGATGTGGAAATCAGCATGTAAACTAAGTGAAATACAATACTTGTCATGTCATCAATGGATAAGAATTTGAAAATATTGGTAAATGTTCCCTTTGGGGCCCCGCCCTAGCCCCTGGGGATGGGGCAGGAATCCTAATTTTACAAAGTAAAACTCTCATTTACCCAAGATGATTCTGACTAAGTTTGAGCAATTTTCTGCTGAAAATGGATAAAATATATACCGAAAAGTGTTATTTCCCTATATAAACTATAT